TACTGAGTGATTTATGATTGGTTTTGTCCTCTAGTGGAATAGTTTCGATAGTGCTCTAGTAATTTACCTATTGCCCATGCTTGAGTTAGTTCAGCCATTGAAACTGAATTCTGAGGGAAGAAGTCTAGAAAATTCTGGTGTGTGATTCCAATAGTTTCAAGCCCTCTTTTTTTTTCCTTTTTCTTTCCTTTTTTTTTTTTTTTTTTTTTTTTATTTTTTTTTTTTTTTTTTTTTTTTTTTTTTTAAATAATATTATAGTTGTATCTAAATTGTTCTAGTATGGAAATACCTAAAATGTTATCAGCCTGGGCATTAGCAATGTCTACAGTATGAGTCACTGCATTGTGGTTTTATTCTGCTGGTTGTATCTTATACTCAGATTGACTCCATCAAGCTTATCAGAGTTACAGGAGATTTACACTGTTCTAACAAAACTAAAGATATGATCACATGTCTTCTCTTACTGTGAACGCTGTTGTAACTGCTTCAAAACAACAAACAACAATCTGATTTAATAAGAACAGCACTGCAGTAATTTATGGGTCTGTTGGGGAGAAAAAGCCCTCCTTTTTTCCTGGCTAGACTGGGTGGGGAATAGCAATTGTATCACAGTATTGCACAAGTAGAGAACAACAAACCAACACATGGCACTGAAGCTGATAGCAGTTTGTGTACATTTTTAAAAAAATAACCCCCAGCAAATGGAAGGAACACAAATAAGAATATTTTATCATGTATGGTTACATGATAAAGAAATAAGCAATCTGTTTAAGATACAAAAGCAGCAGCAGGTTTAGTAGGCTGTTGAACTGAGCTGTAATCACAGGTGCTTCTGGTACTTTGGTATGTAGAGGGATTAAGTTTATCTCCTCTTCAGTATTTGTCACACTTCATATCCGAACAGAAGCACCATGTGTCTGAGGTAAGTTTTAATTTTCATCTTTTTCATCCTACTGCTTTATATTTCTTAACTACAGCGTTTCAGACACTAACTTAAAATACAATCTAGTAGGTAATATTTGTGGACAGTAATTTTTCACAGCTCATCAAACCAACTTAAATTATATTTCAAAGGAAGTACATATATGGAGCATAAGACAGAATTCGATGATTTAATTTTTGCTTCTGGCTGGACAAATGTTTATTTTCCTTTGACTTTGAAGACTAACAAACTTCATTATATGTCTAGATAGTTCTTTTGGCATATAGTATTCTGGAATTACTAATACTTTTATTTGGATTTAAGCATAGAATTTGTCAAAACAGTGCTTTTACAAAAAGGCTTATCAAACCCTTCATATAGCTTAGCTACTCTTTTTTTTGCTAGAGATAGTACATCTATTTTTTAATGTTGTTGATACTAAAAGTAAATGCTGTTCTGTTGTAAATGTATGACTAACATTTTTAAGTTAAACTGAGAGTTAGACCATAATAATTTTTCAGGTTTTAGTCTTATTTTTTCTTAATTTCACTTAAATTTAACTAATTTCAATGCAACTGTGAATGTTGGGCACCTGTGGGAATTCAGGAAAATCTCAAGGTGCTTCTCAATTGTAACCAACATTCTGGCAGTACAATAAAATAATCTGTCAACTATTTTAGAGGGGAAATATTTTTTTAAATGAATTTTTACTCTTTTCCTTTGCATTTAAGGAGGAGCATTTTAATTTTTTATTTTTTTTTTAAATAATTACCAAAATAGCTGCATTTATCACTTAATGACACTGGGTATTATATCGTTGGTGTAAGAGCTCCCTCTATAGGTTTTATTTTAAATCTCAGTATAGGGATATAAGGGAAGGAAATTCTCACTTCTTGGCAGTGCTTTATAAACATATTCAGTTCATCAGCATTACATGATTTTTTTTAAACAGTAGGTTTTTGTGGAAAGAAAACCATCTATTTTACCAATGGTTAAAGCAAGAGGACATAATAGATTTATTACAGGTTTTCTAGACTTACTTTTGTCTTTACAAAAAATTATACAATTAATAGAAGCCTGATAAACTGCAAAACTTAAGCTGCTGTTTTATGTTCACTTTTGTAAGTGAAATGTATACGTTTGTATACGTTTTATACCATCAACGAGTTGCTGGCCTGTGTCTCATGGGCCGGTGCTCAGTGCTGCATTAGCTCTCATATATCCAGGTGCATATAAACTATTAAATAGCTCTGTTGCAAACACAATGTAGCACAGCATTGTATAAGATTGTGTTATATGAGGCTTCTCTTGAATAACTTCAGTGGTCTTCATAAAAAAATGAGCTAGACTAACTGAACAGCTGACTTGGGGGATAATATTAGAAGTTTGCATGAACTTTCATTTGTATATAATTATTAATTTGGTATATAACTATTAAGTAATAGTTAATAATAGTTAATAATTAATGTATTGTACCCAGCATTCTGAAATATATATCTGTACTAGCCCCGATTCAGCACTTCTCATGGCATGGCATTGTAAACACAGAAATAGAAAAATTGATAATACTTTAAAAGGAAATGTTAAGCCCTGTGCACAGAATGAAAGGATTATAAAATAAATCTTTGTAGGCATTCATATCAGAGTGTTTGGCTTTCAGAGATGAAAATGAGGCCTATATACATGCATAGAAGCAAATTGTTTGGTCGCAAACCAGTGGAATTGTTGTGGTTATTACTACAACTAAACAGTAATTAAAATAGTTTGAGACAATTAGTGAGGGTACTGGGCTGGAAATTATTCTCATTGTATAAACTCTGTATAATATTTTCCTTTAGTATTGCTGCTGTTACTCTGGATTTGCAAGTGAGAGAAGAATTTTGCCTGTAGTCCAGTTAGAAATGTTTTATATTCTTGAGAAAACAAGAATGGGTCAGAACATGCATATATTGTTGATGTTTCTAGCTCTTACTCTCATGCTGTTCATAAATATAGTTTGCAAAAAAAACCACACTAGATTTATGACAGTGTGGTAAATCTGAATTGGCTCATGAGTCGAGCATCTTATTTATAATTGCCACCTTCTTCACAATTAAAAATTCTGTCACTAAGAGCAAAAATGTTTTAAAGAAAAGTTTTCACCATTTTTGCTTTATTGGAATTTAATAGCTGTATAAGGAAAACACTGTTTCCTTATACCTGTGTGCAGACCCTGAAATCTTTTTGTCAGTGACAGCTGGAAAGGAACATTGTAAATTATAAATAAATATTTCAATGTTCCTGTAGTAGCCATGACTTCTGAGAGGGTCTGAGGAATTCTAACTATATGAAATAGTGCAGAGAAAAATAGAACAGCCATATTTATGTTTTATCTAAGTCAGGTACAAGGAAATTACTTTCTCACTATGTAGTGTCTTTCTCTTAGGGATAGACTTGTGGTTAAATAATGCTAGTTTTCAGAAGAGCTAGACAGATTCAGTTTGTCTCACATGAGAAAGGGGAGTAAAACTATCTCCCAATCAAAAGAACTCTCATCACTGAGCAGAAAAGGGTTATTACCATCTCTGGTGGCTTAAATTTTTTGGAAGTTCTGCTTTACACAAGAACATGTATGAGCAAATCCCCTTCAGTTGGAATAGACAAGTCAATGGCTTCAGGGCAGAAGAAATCTTGGTCACAGAGAAGTGTTCAGGCATCTAGGAAACTTAAGCAGAAAGTGAACAGGCTTGTGTGTCTGTTGGTGGGGCTTCAGGACTTAGCAGTAAGTTTGAAGACCTACATTTTGGATGTACATCCTAAATATGGAAAGTAACTTGAACTCTGAGTAGTTTGTGCTCATTGAGAAAAGGACTGCAACAAGAAGTGATGCACACATTGTGGGAGGGGAAGCAGAATTCAAAAAGAACACTTTTTGTTCTGTACTATAGCTTTATTCTGTATTTATGGTAAGATGCAGAAAGTATTGTGCATGATAATTTTTCAACAAATCAAGACTTCAGAAGTAGAAAAGAAGATGTGGCTTGGGAGAAATAAAAATACTACAGTCTAGCCAAAAGAAATAAAGCTCCTAGGATGGGCAGGTTTATTACCATGTGTTTGGTGTAGCTCCTGTCATAACAGACTACAGCAATGGTAATTTATGCTCCAGTAATTTCCTGCCTCTTTGATGATACCTACTTTGTAATGGATAGGTAGGTGGAACCAATCATTCTTTGTCTCTTCCAATTCCAGCATAATTTCTCTTCAATCTTTAGTGTGTTTTTGGTCATTTTTTTCTTTTTTAGCCTAATTTTGTTCTTGTTTAATCACATTTGTGATTGTAGTGCTTTCCACTTCTGTGATTCCAGCCTACAAAAGTGATACTTAATGTCTGATTTTACAACTAGACATGAGAATTGGTTCCTAAGTCTGGGTAAATTATTTTCTTGATAATAATTCCTAAGCAATTAAATGGAGGTGTAGGATTTAAATTTTTGTTTTTGAGATTGTTAATACTTTCCTGGAAAAAGTCTTGTGCATCCCATTCTCCTCACTGCAGTATCATATCACTACTAATTTAAATATGGGGGAAGACAAGTTTGGACAGAATATATAGAATGAGTAGGCTAAAACTAACTTGTTTCTGATGAGAGCATCTTCAAAGTAGTTGATTGTGTTTGATACAGGATTTGTAATCTGAACGGGGACTGTTAAAGTGGCCCAGTAATCTCCTGCATCTGTGTCAAAACCAAGGGTAACTGAAACTGGATGGCAAAAGAAGGCTTCAGTCTCAGAGAAAATACTTATCCAAAGTATTTAAAGAGAAGCTATCTCAGTCACTTATTTGCCCATTTCCCGAAAACATGCAGAGGAGATAATAAGGACATGCAGTTTTACCAAAGATAGCCCAACCAAGTTCAGCGATGTTAAGCCTAGAGTTTTATAGATCTAATAATTGTTTCTAAATACTGTTAGGTAGAAAAAGCATAATAGTTTGTGAAGCAGACTCTGATGTGGTTGCCACAGTAAGGAAGTGGATTTTATGACCCTCACATTCTTCTAGTCTCATTCCTAACTGAATTTTTCTCTTTTATTTCAGCCCAGAAGATGGTGAAATCCATCCTGAAATCTGTAGACTATATATTCAGTTGCAATGTTGCTTAGAAATGTACACAACAGAAATGCTAAAGTCCATATGTCTGCTAGGATCACTGCAGTTTCATCGGAAAGGTACTGAATTGCACAAATATGCAGATACTTGTTTTAGAAAAAGAACAATCTTTTGGGGCACGTCTGGGGATTCATGAAAGACAAAACACTGTCCTGGTTTTGGCTGGGGTTGAGTTAATTTTCTTCATAGTAGTCATCACGGAGTGATGTTTTTTGGATTTGCACTGGAAGCAGTATTGATAATACAAGGATGTTTTAGTCATTGCTTAACTCACACAAGGTCAAGATTGTTTCTGCTCCTCACCCCACCCCACCAGCAAGGATGCTGAGGGGGTCCAATGAGTTGTGAGAGGACAGCTGACTTCAGCTGACCCAAGAGATATATCCCAGAACATACAGCATCATGCTCAGCATATAAAGAGGGGGAAGATGGAGGAATGTGAGGATTTCAAAATGATGGCATTTGTCTTTCCAAGTCATGAGGTAGCTTTGTTTTCCTGGGGATGGCTGAACATCTGTCTACCCATTGGGAGTGGTGAATAAATTCCTTCTGTTGCTTTGTTTGCATGCATGTTTTTTGCTTTATTTATTAAAGTGTCTGTACCTCAACCCAGGAGTTTTCTCACTTTCACCCTTTGAGTAGTCTCCCTCATACCACCAGGGGCAAGCAAATCATCAGCTCTGTGGGGCTTCATTGATGTCCGAGGTTAAATCACAACAAGCACCAAACTGTAAAACAAATTTTATATATATATATATATATATATATATATATCTGTAGATAGGTTTTCATTTACTAAAAAGGAGCTCTATTTCTGTTTTTCATCATTCTTACAGAAGTGTGTCTTATCAGGTATGTATCACTAATGTCCTCACCACTTAAAATTCTGATTCTTTTTTTAAAAAGGGTGGTTCCTTAAGTTTTAGCTGTCATTAGTCAGATGGGTGGGCAAACTTAGTAATGTTATTAGACATATGTCGGGCAAGATATGTTTTTAATAGTGTTGCCATTACTATTAGTTTTCTTATCTAACTGCTGCTTACCTCTTACTTCTGGTTATCTTTTACTGGTCCCAGTAAATTGTTCTTATCTTAACCCGTGATCTTCACCTTTTGTGCTTCCAATTCTCAACTCTACCCTACCCCAACAGAAAGAGGAGGGGGACAGTGAGTGGCCTATGGTTTGGAAGAATGTCAGTGATAGCACTAAATTGGGGAGTATCATCCCTAAAACACTACCATAGCAAAAGGCAGATAAATACTGTTCAAAAGATACCTACCCTTATAAAAGAAAATACTAAACTTGGTACTGAAAGATGTTCTCACTTCAGTGAAAATGCAGCTCTCTAATAATTTCATACTTGATTAGGTACCTACTGAAAGGAAGATGTAGAAATGCTGATAATTTACCGAATAGTTTACTTAGTAACCTCATTGCTCAGTGATGGTACAGGCTGATTAGGGCTGTTGCAGTGCTGATTGTAACTACTCTTTCCCCAGACAGTATTTCATCAATAAAAAAATAGGTAAAGCAAGGAAAAGTTCTGTAATGAACTGCAATAAAGATCTTATAATGAACCTGTTGCATTTCCTGTCATACTAAAAAGTTCTGTAGTGTAATTTTCATATCCACCTGTAGAATACTGCTAAAGCCAGGGATATTTTTATTATGAAAGTAAGAATGGGAGATTTATTTGTAAATGCTTAACTGTGGTTCTCAATTATATTCTCAAATCAAAAATAAGTCTACAAAATAGGAAGAGAGAGAATTAGCAGAGCCATTGTAGAACTAGATAATAGTAGCTGTCGAAATGAGTCACCTTTTTTAAGACAGATTGTACTGCATTTCCTAGCATTTGCAACAGTTGTCAAACCATTTGCTGAACTGCTGAAAGTAAATAACTTAAAGTGACCTGAGTAACTCTGAAATGTCTCCCCCTTTTGCTTCTGGATGGAATCTACATTAATAACTTAAACTAAACATCAAAAAGTTGGATAAGAGGAGTTACACCTTTGTTCCTACCTTGCAGTACTTTGATAGGCTTTAGTTTCTCAGCTTACCACAGAGAGAGTCATGGTAGTTATTCTGTCCTTACCAAATAGTGATTTTTATCCTTGCCAAATAAAGTGCTTTAGAGATAAACACAGTAACTTGGCTCCTAGTTTCTGTGACATTCTTTGGAAAAAATACATAGTAAGCAAAAACTAAATTATGACAGTAATTCAAATAATTTGAATATCCAATAGACAATAGCTTTTTTATATTAAATATTTAGTGTTGGCAACTAAAGAAGTATTGCAAGGGTATCATGCAATGTTGGAAATTCCAGTCCTATGTTAATTGTTTTTTCACCATGAAGGTAGCTGCACACTAGACAGGCACCCAAAGGGGCTGTGAAATATCCATTCTTGGATATACAGATAGCTCAAATAGTCCTGAGCAGTCTGACGCAAGTTTGCCCTACTTTCAGTGGGATGTTAACACTGGATAACTTTGCAACTTATTATTCTATGTTCTGACAGAACATACTGTTTTCAAAGGAGCATTCTGAACCCATACTATTCGTTGATTTCTTTACTTACAGAGAATGATACATTAGTGTAGGCGAAGTGCATAAATTTATCTCTAGGAAGGAAAGAGACAATAACTTCACCATTATAAAATATATTGTGATGCTGCTGTGTATAGGTGTCTAGGTTTGGAAAGACAGGTGTCTGCTAAGAAAGGCAGGAGTCTCTCCTGAAATTTAAAAATGTAGACCCCTTCTCTCCAAATTGATATAAATTTGAAATTAAATGGGATCTCAGGCAAAAATATGGAAGCAGGAATAACAGTTCTTTATTAGGGAAGAAATAAAAAGATAAAATAAACAATGCAGTGAACCAAAATAACATTGACAGAGTCAGAATACAACCTGCCACCCTGCTGGACAGGGTGTTGGTAGCAGTCCAATCGGAATTGTGGCTGCAGTCCTCCCTGGAGTGTCAGGAGGTGGTTCTGTCAGGTGTGGTTCTGTTGGAGTAGTGATCCTGTAGAAAAGGGTGCAGTCTTCCTCTGAAGAGGCAGTGGAAAAGGCAACTGTTCCTCTGGAAAATCCAGTGCAGAAAAAACTGCTGGTGGGCCAGAATCTCAAGACTACATGCAGGTAGGAATGCTTGGCTCCTCCCTCTGGGTGGAGCATCTCACATAGGATGTTATAGTTCTTATCAATCAGGCAGTGACATCCAATGGTCCATTATCAGCAGATGTCTCCCAGAAGGGGAGGAGATAAGGAAAAACTGCCTACTTAACACCAGACAGCTGCCATACAGATGGTAAAATAGAATACATCTTGCTTTTCAATCTGGGACAACAGATTTTTTATTTCTCCACTTGTTTAGTTTTTCACAGGTCTTTAATCATCTGAATGACCATATTAAAAAAAAAAAAGTTTCTTGAGTAGAAGGAGTACTGCCCTTATAACCTTTGCTTAACCTGTAAGTCTGTGTGTCTAGTGTTCTTGTTGTGTATGGAAGCTCATTTCTGTGGGTAATTATTTTCCATTTGGATGTAGTATTTCACTTCTCTAGCCCTCTTACTTCCAGACAATTTGTATGTTAAGTTTTTAAACCTCCCATGAGATTTCACCAATTCATGTTCTTACTCAGGAGGCTGCAGAGATTCAAATAGAACGACATGCAGACTGTTCTCAGTCACCTGTGGCTTATAAATAATAATGTGGGTATTGGTACCTTGATCAGAATTTATCAAACAAGCTATTGAACTGGTAAAACTAAGGCAGTGGGCTGATGCTGATGTTCTTTTCCTAAGAGAAATTCAGCCAGCAGGAAGGAGATGTCTTACTAGGAAAGCTATTCCCTTAACAAAACACCACACAAAAATTTGAAGGTCTGAGCTCTAGATCTTTTGACTGCCTTTCACAGCACGTATCTTCTCATATCTCCTTATCTTTCTTTTCAGCTGAACAAATATTCCTTTATTTGCTGTATCAATCTTCCTGTACAGAAATTTCTTGCATGTTTTAGAATTAATTACTGCTGTTAGAGAACCACTACTAGGAAAACCAGATAGTCTGTTATCTCTTTGAGATGTAACTACCACAGTGGGGCCAAAAACCATAATATTTGTAGCTGTGTTATGAAGTAAATAAGCTGAGGTAAGTGCTCTTCAGTAATTTTTTTTTATAAGATACATACACTACAAAAGTCCGGTGTTGAGAATATATAATGATTCAACAGTTTAGCATTCAGAAAGTTTGCAAAGAGCACAAGGAATCATACCTAAGTGTCTTTATCAAGGGTTTTGTAGTTACTAAGTCTTTGGCTACCTAAACATTTATTCTATTACTCTGCCTTTCTATAATCCCAGGAGTTCTGGCTAACTAGTGCACATATAAATACTTATTTGAGCATACATCTTTCTTTTATCCTAGTTGTTTACTATCATACATTTTATTTATTGCACACCATTAAAAAAAAATAACAGTTATTGAGATTTGTGAGTCCCACGTCACATGTATAAACACAGGTGAAGGCAGAAGGATACCAGCACTAACCAAAGTGATGAGTACCTGTGTAGTCATGCAAAAAAGGCAAGAAGTGAGTCTTACAGGAAAATCAAGCATGCATACTACTTGTGTTTCATGCAAGAAATTAACATCGTTAATTATTGTATTTCCAGTGTGTATTTTATGATAACAATTCCTTAAAATAGTACCTAAAAGTGATAGCTTATGCTACCAACTACAGAAATAAACCCTTGGTTCAGTGGAGAGATTTTTTGCTTTTTGGCTTTGTTTAAATGACATGCTTTTTAGAGTTTTGAAGGGGAAAGGAAGGATTATTTAACGATTGTGCTACAATCTCAGTGTTTTATTTAAAGACTGGTAGATATGCATTATTACTTACACATATCACTTATGCAAGAGGGGTAAGACGCAAGTGTGTAGAAGAGCACACAGGTTTGGAGAAACAGAATCAAGAGATCACCCATTCTTACGTGGACACTGAAGAAGTGAAGGAATGGGACAAGAACAGCCATGGAAGGAGGGTAACAATTTTCACCACAGAATTGTTGTTCCTATTCCATTTTCTTTAATAATAGTACTTCCAGTGAGACAGTCTCCATCCAAGTTCTGCAGGTCCTGAGTGTAAATGAAGAATTAAATTCTTCAGGCCATTAGCCATATTTGTCAAATAACTTCTTTACTTCCCGCACAATTCTTTCCTGTTCCCCTTTGTAGGTTTTCTTGCTTGTGTACTTTAGCTGTGATACATAGCTTGTGCATTTATCCTTAATTGCCAGGTTAGAAACCCGATGTAAACGCTGCTGTCTTACACTAAAATAAACAAGCAAACAAACTGAATTACTGATGAAAAAAGAAAGAATGCATAATTGCAACTAAAATTATTAAAAATCTTTCCACTGACTACATTGGAAGTAAAATTAAGGGTTCATATCCATTTTTTGAAGTATCTATGACAGAAGATACCCGTATCAGTGACTGTAAGGATGAAAATGTTTAGAAGCTTCTGTTTCCATATAGGCTGTGACCATGGTAGAAATGTTAAGCCTGAGTCATAGATTATTCAAGCAAAGCCTTTATTAGTAGTTGACTCTTTAACTGCTTTCAAGAGACTGAGCAAATCTGAAATTCAAGAAAGGCTTAATGAATTGTTCACAATACAATAGAATTACTGGTAAAGAGCTTTTTCCAGGTGAAAAGAGATCTGTGTCGTTCATTCTGGCAGATGTGCAAGAGCTTGTCTTTGTGCTGATGAAAAGAACATTACAGTTCCTGCTTCTGTTCTCAATCTGAGAAAAAGAACCTTTACTATTATTTCATTTTGTGCTATTACTGTTTCCATTGAAAAACCTTTCACATCCATGAAGGATGCATCTCTACAGCATGTCATTAAAGGTCAGGCCAGAATTCCACCATAGCACTTAAAAATGATGGAAAAATCCATTAATACCCTGTTTCATGAGTAATGCTTTGTGATATCAATGGCACATTAGATGGTTCACCTGAAACCTTTTTAGTGAAAAAGTAACGTGTGAAATATTGGTAACATTATGTTGTGTTATGGACTTCTTGTGATGGGAAAAAATAATGAAGATTATATGACTGAACAATGAAAACTGTACCATATGAATCGTCTTAACAGCAAAAGCTGCAGTTAAGGACAAGAAAATTTCAAGTTAAACATACAGGGTGATACAGAGTATAAAACATGTAATCTGTGAAGCAGGCTAAATCTAGTATTCCACAAAAAATTGAGTAACCTTTCAGCATAAAATCTTGTAGCCAACAGAAAGGTTTTGGTCTCTTTCTCTCTGTCTCTCCTCCCTTTTAACGCCTTCACTTCTTCTACATTTCCACTGCTTCTGGAAAAAGAGTAATATGATCCTTCTTCTCTGGAACTTGCTCCTGGGCATGTAGGGTTTTTGACTGACCTTACTTAAACCACTTCATCAGAAAATACCACATTTTATTTTTCTTTTTTTTGGGGGTAATCTATCATTTCAATGGCTAAAGTGGATCACAGAAGGATTTGACAAAGCACAAGTTAGCAGTGGATGCCAGTTAGCAGCAAAGGACACAGGAGATTCTCATAGAGGCTAAATTTGTTATGGTCATGTCACACACTCTTTAGGATTCATTTAGGTAACTGTGGGCTTCCTAGTGGCTTTGAAGAGCATTCAAACATAAACAAGTATCTTCTGTAGCATAGGCATTCCTAGCTACCTGTTTGAGACAGGTAGCTAGGAATAACTATTTTTCTTTCTTTTTTTCAAGGAAATAACTTATCAGAATGCAACTTTTTAGATAACTTACCCAAAAATGATATCTTATGATCCAGGAAATTCTAGATTTTAATAAAACAAGGTTACCTGCCTAATAGCAGGGATCTATATTTGTGACATGGAACAGCAGTGTACCATGGTCTGCAGTTTTGGCCTCTAGTGTCCCAGAAAAATGGTCTGAGTGACCTGTATTAGCTGGTTTTGTTCTTCATGTACTTTGTCAAACCTTACAGGAACTACTCAGATTTGTACTGATGTCAAAACTTTTCCAATTGCAAAAATTGCTAGATGAATAAAACATGCCCTATGCAACGTTTTTTATGGTTTAAATGGCAGTTGTCTAGGATGCACTCCAGTGTAAATTTTCTTCTGTATTTGGTGCCAGAATTGTACTTGCTACTACAAAAAGGAATGCTATCAGGTAGTCCAAAGGAGATTTGCAGGTTTACCAATTCTTCCAGTGTAAACTCTCTTGAATGCTCCATTATCATGATCCAAGCCTTTATCCCATTCTCTTCCTCACAAAAGCCCTGGAAGATCTGTCATTAAGCACCCCCCCCCCTTCAATTTCAACACTCTATTTAATTTTCATATAGAGAGTCATATATGAAATAGGTAGGTGTCAACACAGAAATTCAGAATGTAATGCATTTGGGCTGTGGGTGATGGCAGCTTTATATTGCTATTAAATCATAAAGTACAAAATTTCATGTTTGTCTTTGGCTTTCCCTCAGTATTGCTGTAGTACTTGGAGGCATGGATTGCAGTGTTCTTTAGTGTCAGAGTTTTGAAGTTGTTTCCAGCATGTGCATTGTTGTTTCCTCACTTTGTTTTGTTTTGTCTTCTGGCTGTTATTTTGTGTTCCATGAGAGCCACTGGAGTTTAAATGAACCCTTTTAAATTGGTAAGAATAACATATGGCAGCACTCTGATTTCTAGCTTGGCATGGTGTGCTCTGCTTCTGAACAGTTCTTACTCAGAGTTTGCATCTAAGCAGTCTTTTTCTCTGTTTGTATTGTGCAAAGTCAAGTTCAAAGCATCAATTAGATAATTTGAGTATCTGTTTTAATCAATAAATAATAGGGATACATGTTTTGTTTAAATATTTTAAAGGAAAAGAACCTTGTGGCCCACCCAAGATCTTAGATACTAAAGTGGAGGAGAGTTCTGAAGTACCCATTTTAGAAGATACATCGTTATCACCTACAGATATTCAACAGCATCTATGGCAGGTTTCCACAGATATTGAAAACACTGAAAGGTATGTGTAGTACTTCATTCCTAAACAAACAAATTTCTTTCTAGGATTTATTTAGTCGTTCTTAATTTGACAGCCAGTGTTGCTACTATGAAAATTATAAGTAAATTAAATAACCTGTTAACTTCTCTGGTACATTTAACAGAGTTTCTGATTTTTTACATTTTCAGAGTTTCTGAAATATGCCAGACTCCAATTATGCATATCAAAATCAAAACCACAGAATTTCAGTTAGTTCTGCAGAGTTTTAAATTTGGAAGTTTTAGGAGAGAAGGGGAATGTTGTAGCAGTATTATCTTACTCTTTTAACTATGCAATTGAAAGACAAAAGACCCTTTACTAGACAGTAATCCTGAATAAAAAAAGTTGATTGCAAAATGAAATCAACTTTTTTTTTGCAAAAAGTCCTATTTTGAGGCTTTGTATACTAAGTTGCAGCTGAGATTTAAATTGTTATCATGCTGATTTGCATAAAGCCAAGTTCTGTTCTACTGGGCCATAATGTGGAGAATAAACAGCACAATTTTTCATAATCATGCTGCTGCATTTCTGAGAACCATTTTATGTGTAGATGAATGAAGCAAGACAGTACTGGATTTAAATCCTGAAAGCATTAGGACATTACAAGCCTGTAGATCTGCCATCTATGTGCAAAACAGAAACTATCTGGAAATTTCTGGCCTCTTTCAAGACATATCAAAATGTGATTTTCTTTTGGAGATGATGTGTTGTTATCATATTTTCCATCATCTGCCTTTCAGAAAATCTAAATGCCAGAGTCCTCTGAAGGCGGGTGAGAATGATAGCCCTGTTCCTAAAATTTTCATTTCATGCACAGTGTTAAGTATCAAGGGTTAGTTGCATATCTTATAATTTTCTTCTGAACAGTGAAACACATTCATGGCACAAGCTACAAAATGCTGTTAAGGGGTATGAAGATAATATTAGTATTAGCTAATATTAGTTTTAAGATATGTTGTGTATTTTGCCACTAGAATCACGTTGTGCCCTCAAGAGGCTTTTATGAGAAATACTCAAGTGCTAGAATAGGTCATAAATTTGAACCAGGTAAAGTTAGTATGACTTTCATAAAAGTGCTCCCCTATTAGTTTTATTGATCTTTGTTTTGGTATGTATCTTCTGATACATGTATGTAAACCAAATGCTTGCTCAATAGATTTTTGTATTTATTGCTCCATTGTTTTTGCATATAATATTTTTGCTATACTTTGAGTCACACCACATGCAGTCTTCAACCTGTTGTTCCATTGTATCTTTTTTAACTGTTGTATCCACAGAGATATGAGAGAAATGAAAAACCTTTTAAGTAAACTCAGGGAGACTATGCCTTTACCACTGAAAAATCAAGGTAAGTTTTGAATTTTTTTTATTTAATAAAAATTAAGATAATTGAGGGGTTTTCCTTCCTTTATATACAAAAAAATCTAGGAGCCTTTAATGGAAACTGCAAAAATAAAAATCTAGGCAAAATCTCTTCCCTACTGATTCAGTGGAGCCAGAATCTAGTATGCGATCTTTGGCCTCTTGAGTTTCACATGAGGTATTCTGGAATTCATAGATACAGTATCCATAGATAAAATAATACACTTTTCCTGGTGATATAAAGGCAGAAGCAGAACTACTTCCCAGTATCTGGAGCCCTTCTTTCTCAAAGGCAGTGAAGGTGTAAATTGCACAGACTATGACAGGGATCTTTTGAGTGATGCGATTTGCTTCACTTCTACAAAGCTTGTAGCTTCTGCGACCTGACACTGACTCTGCACAGAAAAGCTACTCACCTTGAGTCTGCCACCAGGCTGCTTTTCCCATAGACAGCTATCAGGCACCCCACAGAAATGCACAGGTGGGCAGGATCTCCATCCTATGCATGTATTTAGCAATGGACCTTAATTTTGTTGGCATGTTAAATACTCCACATCTACAGGCACTATCTTTGTTTGTGAGAACAGCATTAAAAAGATAATAATTTTTCTTTTTGATTTCTTCTTGATAATGGGTGTTCCTTAAATGTGGAACTGTCTTTGCACAGTGGCAACTGATGAAATGTACTGAATGTATCCTAGATCTTATCCCAAGTAACTAAGCAGCCTAGCATTCATCATAATACACTAAGAGATGAATATAGAATGACTGTATTCATTATACAAGTCAGATTTCATGGCAGGATAGCTTGATTGAAAACTATGTTGAAAGGAAAAGGGGAATCACTTGTGATACAGACATACCATTGTAAAGACTGGAAAAGTGATGAAAGATCTAGGCTTAGTCTAGAACAAAAGAGTGTGCTGAAAATAAGAAAGGGAAAGACAAACTGGAGGGATATAATGCATAAAGAAACCTGAATTCAGAACAGAGATAAAGACATACAGAATTCTTCTTTGTTGCCTGGTATCTACACTGCCCTTCAACAATGACCAGAAAATCACTGCCCCCCTGTACAGCAGGACAGGAAGCATCCCAGGGTTTTAAAACTCGGGAGATAATGGCCCAGGATCAGGTAATCATCATTATTATGGAGATCCTGTTAATTAGCATTGTAAGATTCTCAAATGAAAAATTCAGATTATTATTTTTTCTCTGCTCTATGGGATCTACCACATCACAGAAAGGGTTGTCAAGCATTGGAATGAATGCCTAGAGAGGTGGAGGAAGTGTTCAGAAAAGGACTTGGCACTTAGTGCTGTTGTCTGGTCAATGTGGTGCCAATCAGTTATAGGTTGGACTCAATTTTAAGACTCATAAATGATTCTGTGATTCTGTGATCATGTAGGTGCTGCTAGGACACATAAATGATTAAATCTCTTTTTTGTGCATATGTGTACACACTTGTGTTAAAACGTGGGTTTTTTTATCACAGATGATAGCAGCCTCCTAAACTTGACTCCATATCCACTGGTAAGAAGACGGAAGCGAAGATTCTTTGGATTGTGTTGTCTTGTCTCAAGTTAGAAGTTTAAGCACAGAAGCACCAAGGAAATCATGACTTTGATTAAACCACTATTATTTGACCACTAAAAAGATGAAAATGGCTAATCTTGATTATAAAGCATATTTTCTACACTAGGCTATTCATTTTTGTCTTCTGCTCCATCCCCCTTTTCAAATAAGGGTTTTAATACTTTCAAATTATGGTGGTCAAAAAATGGCTGTGGAATAGATCTAGAATATTTAAAACTTTTTAAAGTATGTTTTGCATGCTTACTTTCAATCACTAAAAGAAGACACATGAGTTACGATTAATATATAATTTTAGCGGGTTTTTTAATTGTTTGAGCTGCAGCTAAAAGTTTGTGTGTAGTACAGTACTCTTACTAGTATTATATTAAAATCATACTCTTAACAGTCTTTAAGCATAGGAGAAGAACATTTGATCATTCTCTCAGTCTTTAGGAAACTATTTAAGAGCAAAACTATTAAAGTTCTGAGACATTCAAACAATATTGTAACAGATTTTGTACAAAATCTTCCAGTTGCTTTTTGTGCTCTCATTATATTTAGTCTTCCACTGTATCTCAACTTCAAAGCTTTATAGAAAAATATCTTAATTTATAATTAAAAAACCATATGTGAAAATAGGTAGGACTTGTAAATAGAGAGAATAATATCTATAAACTGGACAATGATTAGAAGCAACAAATTTCCTTTTAAGCCAATAATATATCCACAAGCTTTTGGAAAAAAATAAATAATTTATTAAAAGAAGGTGTATTCAAATAAACAGTGTAAAACACAATGCAAACGCATTTTGTTGCCAGTAAAATTCAAAGCATGGTGTCTGCATATCAGGTATTGATCTTATAAGGCATGCCAAAATTATCTCAGACTGTAAGATACTAAACGTTTTACATTGTTAATAAAGTTTTTTATTTAAATTAAATGTTGTCTTGTTTCTAGTTGTATTGCCTATGTATTTTTTTCTAATTTTGTTGTCAAGAGTATTACACAAATTTGTGACAATATTTCCATTTCAACAAGTATATTTACAAAGACAGATTTAAAAAAATATGCATGACTAAATTCTTTAAATAGCACAAAAAAAGGTATCTTCAACATATTTGAAGATTTCAGGTCATGAACTATTCTTAGGCATATATATTCTGAAGCATCTGAAATGGGGAGATCTCTACAAAACTGTGTGCTTGTGACAGCAAACAACATTTTTAAGAAGAATGGAATCAAAGTCCATAGCACAGTGTTTTTTCTGAGTTAATTATTTAAAGCTTTCTGCACATTTTTCATTAACCTTGTGCTCACTAATCAGAGCTGTTGTCCATAATGTTCACCACTGACATGTTTTCATTTGAGGTCTCAAAGCAGTAGATTCACTCTATGATTCCATCCCCACAGATACACTAGATTTGGCAACTGTCAAAACTTTGTAAAAACAACTCCTGGTGTCTAATAGCTATTAAAAATACTCTGCAGAATTGATCAGTAGTTACAATTAATCAATTTAATTTTGTTCAGCATAAGTGAAAAAGACATTAATGCCAAAAAAAGAGTATGAATTCACGACTGAATGTACAGTGATGCCATGAGAAAGAAAGGGGGAAAGAAAATTTCACACAAGATTTCTTTAAAGGTCCTGGTTTTTTGGTACACACAGAGAATCAGATGGGCAGATAAAAGCACTGACCTTGTCTAATTCATTACCTGCCCACATATCATCATCTGCCAAGTTACATGACAACTCGTATCTGTGTTTTAACCACCGCTATTAAAATGGAATATATATTAGTAAGGTAAATGTATAAATATCCTAATTAGTACAAAGCTCTTGACATCAGTCATATCACAAGGAGTTCCCTAACTTCAGCACATTCTGGGATAGACTTGAACTTGTTGTCTTCAAAGCCCTTTGAGATTCCTATATATTGAAGTGAACACTAACATGCATCCTTTTACCTTTTGTTATTCTGGAAACTTCAGAAGTTTCTTCTTCCTCAGCTAAAGCCTATTAAAATCACAGTCTGTTCGTTTTGAAGCCTTTCTATAATTCTAAGCAATGTAGCATCTTACCTGAAGCCTTTTGTATTATCCTATTGATCCCAATTGGAGACATGCTGTAATTCCCAAGCCTTATGGCCACTTAAGGAATATTGGTGCTCAAGGGTGATGGAAGTTCTCTTAACAGATAGTGACATGAACCAAGACCTGGTAAATACCTGAGCTGAAGAGGTGTCAAGGGATAAAAATTGGTTTACCTAGGAATGCAGTGGATTATCTTTTACTACTTCAAAAGGAAACAAGAAAACTTTCTAAGCCCCAGAACACGGTGTTGGTAAAAGAAAGATAAAAGTTAGTGATATTACATTTTAGTTTAATGGAATACAGCAATGTAGGATCAAAGTTTTAAAGTTCCCTCATGAAATTATATACAAATTATTTATAGAGATTACTTAGAACTATTATTTGCTTTCCAAGTACTTTGAAATACTTCACAGTAACTCCCAAATGCATGGAAACAAGCAATTCAGGGAGAATACTGAGGAGAGCAGCTCTTGCTTTCTAAATCCTTCTTGGAGTTTGAATATTTTAGTTTAAAGTGTTATGAGTTATTCTTTTGCATCACCCATTCTTTTGCCCACTAGCATTCTTTTGCAGGGTAGGAAGCAAGTAAAAATTTGTCTCCCCACCAAATATGTCAAGTTTCACCAACCCTTTTTTTTTTACTAAAACTTCGTGCAGCTCCAGCTTTTCAAAACCAGATTCAATTCTTTATAGCCACCTTCCACTGGTATCACCCATTTTTCACAGATACTTAGTGAGAAAAAAAGACTTAAGGTGTCATAAAAGACTAATCCAAGAAATCAAATATCTGTGTACACTGTAAAGTCTCAATTTTTCAGAGCAGAATCAAAATAGGAGCTTACAGCAGTGGACAGCATACATGCAGCAGGTTGCATGTTAACTTACCCAAAATGAGAACTTACCATGCAAAATCTGCATGTTAATTTACATAATAGGTCCAATACAAATCAGAAAATCTGGGTCAGAGAATGGGAAAAATACAATAACTAACCTTTATCCCATCTGAGGAATAAATATATAGTGGTGCATTAAATGCCTATTGGTCTTATGTCCATGTTAATAGTGAAATTCCTTATTACCTCTGTAAGAGATATCCTACCTATTGTCCAGCTTCATGGACAAGAGGCAAGAGAAGCTGAAGAAACATCTATCTCTGCTTATACTTAGTCATAAGTTACTCCAGTCAAGTAAGTGTTAAGTCTAGACTTATAGCATTATTTTGGGAAGTTTGTGGTCCTGTTTAAGTTCTAGGACCTTGAAGGCACTGACTGACATTCAGGAAAACTTACCCTTTACCAGCACAACCTTTTTTGCTTCAAAAATAACTGAACTAGGCTAAATACAGGTGGGCAGGACATATTTTCTAGGGATCATGGTGTGGCAAAAGTTTTAACAGTGACTTTTAATTGTTCTACAGCTGAATAATTCATCTCAAATTCTAAACTATTTTCCCCGAGATTCTCTTCTCTTGTAGCAGTTTTACAAAAATAGCCCCAGCCATGTTTGAAGAGGTACACCTTTATTCTTTAATTGATGGTTGTACTCTCTAATGTGGTGTTTGGTTTTTTTTCAGTTTAGGCTGTTCCCAGCATATGCATAATCTGCTGTCCAGATCTAGCCTCATGTTGCCAGTTCAAAGCCAAGTGAGTTCAGGCTGGAAAATATCTATTTTCCAGCCTGAACTCACTTGGCTTTGAACTACCAGTCTCCATCTCATTAGTACTTTGAGCCTTTACCTTATTTTGTGTCATCTGTAAAATTTCTTGGAGCGGTTATTTCTCTCACTTCCATTTTTTCAAAATGTACTAAGTACCAATAGTAATGAAATTCTGGTGTCCAAGAGAGTACTTGTTTATATTTGTCCAGTCTGTTGCCATCTAATGCAAGCATATCTTCATTTGAGCCATTATATGTACTCAGCTCTCTCTTCCACAAGTTATTTCTAGCTCTTCTGGGACTGCAGTTCTTTGATGAAAACAAAGAACTGTTTTTTTTCCGCCCATTGTCAGCCTAAATCTCCTGGATAATTAATAACATATACAATGTGTTTCTTGCAGGTCAGCTTTATTGTTTGTTAAAATTCTCTGATGGTCAAAATTCTGCAATATCTCAGGATATTTTACATTCTGCCATGTATCAGGATATTTTATAAACTATTATACTAGATTAAAGCCTCAGGAAAATATACAGTATAGACAAATAAGAATTATCCCTCCTTCACAGTACACTTTCTCAGTGGGAAAAATATTTAGCTTACACAGAAAACTAAACCACATCCTGAATACATCTTGCTGAAGTTTAAATGAACTCTACTAAACAGCCTTTACTCTGAAAAGAGTTTCCCCCTTTACTGCTATTATTTAAACTCTAACATTGCTTTTCTAAATAAACCTGTTCTGGTCTTCTTTCTCAAATAATTTTTCCTTTTTTTTCCCCTAATATCTTTGATTTCTTTATTCTTCTACCTTTATTGTTTTCTGCTACCACCACCTCATTTCGTGTTCTTCTTTATCACCTAAATTCTTCTTCATAGATCGTTATAGTAGAATTTCTTGTGAACAATGTAAATATGCTGGCATTTTTACTACAGAAGCGTTTTTGATATATTTTTCTCTATTCAGCCTTATTATTATTTATTGTGATTTGCATCTCAGGATTTCTGTTAATGCCTTTCTCAGGTGCTACTGCTGTGGGGCAAAGGTGTTGTAGTAAGAGGCACCAAGTGTGTGTTTGCCCAAGAGAGTCTGTGATGTGTAGCAATTGGCTCAAGGTAAGATAGGTTGGCTGCCCAAGACGTGAGAATGTCAGTAAAACCTTTTTACAGCTTCACTGCTGGCTCTACTGTGGAGACTTCAGAGCACAACTGAATCATCAGTTGAGTGAACACATTTGGGATGTGTGACATTCTGTTTTGCATAGACAGATATTGTGTCCTTTTTTGACTGGGGAGAGATGATGGGAGGAATTGCAAAAGATGATCTTCTAAAAATACATCCCAGGAGTTCCTAGAACTGATTGTTACATGCAACAGATAACAACCACCATGTCCAATTCATTACTCGTGATACTTTTTAGAGGGGCCTGCAGCTATGACATTCTCTCCTGTTGTCAACTACAAAAGCACCGAGTAAATAAAGAGTTCAATATGCATTATCTCAGCAGCTTTCATATCCTTAAAGAATAACCCTGTAAATATTACTTAGTCCATTTCAAGTTCACAGCTAGATGCTGCAATTTTTTCTATCCATAATTGTGTTGTTGCCATTCTGAGTTATGATTCTTCACTATGACTTATTTTTTTAAAGGAAAAATAAGCCAAAACCTTCCAATTATAAAGCTGCATGCTAATACTGCATTGCAAAGAATTTATTTTTCCTTTTGTTCTACCTCTTAGGTACCTATGGCTAAGACTTTTGTTTGTCCATCATTTATGCTTCCTTGCAGAGTGTACAATAACCAACACATACCATTGAAGAGAATACAACAGAGGAAGTATTTGACTAAACTGCAAGAAATATTTATGAAAGAGTCCTGTAAACAACACAAATTGACACTAACAAATGACAAAATCTTTAAAGTAATATTCATACAAATTTCAATGGTAGTAGAGCTTGTAGTGGCACCATTGCCTTTTTGCCCAACCTCTAAATTAAACTTGAGATAATTTTAGTAAGGAGGTAATATAAAGGGGGATCTTCAATTGAAGGCCTTCAGAAGCAGTTATGGAAAGATGTCCACAAAAGCCCACCTCACCCCCCAGGGGCGAATACTTTTTTTGAAGTTTTAGAAAATTAGCATAATTGATAAAAAGCACCAATTAGGAGCACAAGTGGTCAAACCCAGGTCAAGCCTGGTCTTCCTCCCAGGTCAAGCCCCTTCTCTGGAGCCCCCACTTCATAGCGATACTTTGTCCATGAGAATGTATCTTCAAGAGTTTTTCTCAATCTTGGTTCCCAGGAAGAACTAAGATAGTACCTTGTACCTCCTGGGGTTTGGAGCTCTGGAATACATTTTGTCTTTCTGCTTATGGAAAGGCCATGGAGAAGTACTGGGAAAACTAGCTACTAAGACAATAGGTGACAGAGTTACAAATACATGTGAGAAAAATACAGAGAACATATAAAAGAAAAAAAAAACAAAGGCAAAACCCAAACAGCATCAACACAGGAAACTAATATTAAATTGCAATCAGTGATGTACACACCACTTTCCTCACATTGCAAAAGATGCTAATAGCATCAAAAGACTTCAGAAGTTTATGAAGACAACAAGTATATTGTTAAAATGCCTCTAAAGACCATGAAAACTACTAAGTATGGAAGAGTATCATCTGATATGTATTCAAATTAGAGTAATACCTGTTATACAACATTATTTGTGTTGAAAGAAACTTTCAATTATTCTAAGTACATTGAAGAAATTATGTACTCTAAACTGTGAAAAGAGACTGAAAGGCTTTCCTTGGAGTCTCACAAATTGCAGAGAATGCTGAAGCTGTAATTTTTGTACCGTGAATATGTATTTCCTTTGGATATTTGTGAAACAAGAGCTTCATTCAGTTTCAATTCAGCTATTCCAGGCCTTGGTGCATTTTACAGCTCAGTTTGTTTCCCAGCTTAGCAGCTCAATTGGCAATGTGCACATTTAGCTTCCACTACTGGGATAGATGACTGAAGGAAACACCAAGTATCAGCTTTTGTTTCCTGGTGCGTATTGACAGAGACTGATTTGCATTTCAGAGTTTATTGTAAGGCAGGTTGCTGACTCTTCAGTAGTCTAGGAACTCGGCATGCCCACCCCACATACTACTCATGCTTTATTCTTGTCTGTCTTTCTGGAAATACACATTTCATTCTGTATCTGAGATAAGCTGACAGGGAATGGCACTCTTTTGTACTGGCATCACCTTTATATTGCAAGAGCTTTGGAGGCTGTAGACTAGCAGGGTACAATCACTACTTGGGGTCTATACAACAGCAGGAGTTATGCCAGGGTTAGCCTTCAAAAGTCTGATTCATGCAAAGTAAAGCTAATAACAATTGACATAAATGAAGAAATAGCTGAAGTTTAATACTAGAAGTCTTGTTTTGATAACCAAACCTTTACATCTATATCAAAGATGAAATGGCCATAACTGTAAAAGAACAAAATCCAAGGAAAAAGGACTTTAAAAATTGATAGCTTTTGTTTGCTTCTATTTATTTTCAGTTTGCTCATAATTATCCTGCCAAAAGAATGTGTAATTATGTTTCAGAGTCTACGACTAGATCAATTTTAGAAGATAATTTTGAAGGCTCAATCTTTTTTAGCTTCTCATTGCTCATTTCCCCTCTCAGGCCCTGAACACTGATTCATATTTGCTCTTACTGATTAATGTATGTAAGCAGAAAATGTTGTGTAAAACATACATTTATTTAAAAGGTAATAGAAAATCTCACTTGAATTTCCAAATCTGATGTAACCAAAATCACACCACAACACACCATTCTGACATTATGCATATTTAAGTCCGTATCTATCTACACAAAGGCTTGCAAACTGCAATTTACATTCTTTACATCCTACTGTAAAGGATTTCAAACACAATCACAACTGAACTAAAAATATGAGTGAAGAAGTTGCATGGTTTAGTATTAATAAACCTGAAATAGAAAAGCAGATTTTTTTCATAAAATGGTCCATCTAATAATTTGATGCACTGATGTATGCCAATAGATTTCTCAAAAAAAATATATATCTCATTTTAAAACAGCATTGCAAAGCATAAATAAACTTGCTATGAAAGGAAAATTGTCTTCTCTGCAAAAGCGAGAGGAAAAATAGACCACCATGTCAGTCACTGCTTGAACTGTCCGAACTGCTAGAAGATGAACTTTTTTCCTTTCGTCTCTTCTTCTTCTCCTTTTTATGATGCTTTCCTTTCTTAGATTTATGCTTTTTACCCTTTTCCTTTTCTTTTTTGTGTGATTTTTGTTTTTTTGACTTTGGCTCATCCTCTTCTGCTGAACTTGATGAGGAAGATCTAGGAAAAAAATGCAGATCAATATGTAATTAAAGAAGGAAAATTACACAGTAAAAATTTAAGGTGTCAGTATTTTTGTAATGTCAAAAATTGAATTTGCTGTAGAATTTGTACAGTAGCATCCACTGGTAAGCTTGTATCTTGGTCTGCATGTGTAAATTAAATTATGACTTTCCTAATGTGACTTTAATGCCAGAAAAGCACTATGTTTCTAATACAGATTAAAAAATAATGGAATAGGCAAGTTGTCTGGGTTTTCAGTCTTTGAGAAAAGAAAGACCCAGAGTACAGACCATCAAAAAATAAAGTATGACAACAAGATAGAGCTTCTGTTTTTAAAATCCCCTATGAGCATTAACAATGCTAATTAATGCCTTCAGATATATGTCCCTGATGCAAAAATGTAAGAGAAACTGTTATGAAAAATTTTTACGTTCTTGCAGCTCATACTATTGTGAGGAAATAAAATGCAAGACTCTCAAAAGTCACATCACGCATCTAAGAAGATGAGGTCAGGAGTTGAACTAAGCTAAAGAATTCCCAGAACATGTAAACTCAAAGGAATGTTTGAGTATGTATAATCTTCATGAATATGCATTTGACCAATGCAATTAAAACGTAAGAAAAGTTGTTATAGTTAACCACATGCATCTGGCTATGGCTATGCACCCAGCACTGTTACTTTTTTTTTTATTCCTTATTAAACTTTTAAAAATTTTAAAAGAGTGGGCCTCATTACTCACAAAACTGACAACCAGATTGACTCTTTTCTATTCTATTTCTTCACAAGTGTAAGGGATGTCTTCAACAGTGGAAATTTGAACTACACAGTGTAAATAGGGAAAAGGAAAAATGCAAATACAACAGGTATTAAATCCTGTTTCTTTGTTTTGGAGGGAAATCTTCATATACATTTTGCAGTGTTACCTTACAGAGCAGTTTCTGGCATATTCTCTTATCAATTGTCTTAATGATGAAACATTAGTCTCATCTATATTGTCACTTAAAAAAACCCCAAAAAAGTAAGTCAGTCCACAGGCCAGAATCTAGATTCATAATACATTGGATATTATGACATTTTAGGCTTCTATGTTAACAGGTACATAAAAACTCAACACCTGTTCAATTTTACAGAAGTTTCCCTTTTGATAACTGCGAGTCACTCAGAGCCTGCAGGTGTGCTTACATATGTGTGTGCCTGCAGGTATGTTTACATATGCATGTGTGCACACAAAGAACCCTACAGTCTCTGAATTTCAGAGAGCCTTCTCCAGACTGGCTAGGTTGGGGACCAGCCCCACAATCCTCCTGGCTTGTTCTTTTCCCATCACAGCTTGCTTAGAGTTGGACAATCAGGGGCAGTTCTGCTTTTTCTGATCTGCAGACCTGCAGCTTGCTAGAGCTTTCAAAACTCCTATGATCCCAACTCCACAGCAGAAAGCCTGTGACTCCAGCATTAATCTAAGAACATTTACCTTACCATTATTTTACCAATGCTTTATCATTAGTCAGTTCTCACTGGAAAAAAGAAAACTTTTCAAATGGAAGAAGTACTTGCAAAGAAAGTTGCATCAATAGAAGCAATATTTTCTGACAAAACACAAGTCTCAAAAATATTTCTAAAGCTGTGTTTTCAATAGAAGTGTGTGAAGGTTACCTTTTCCTTGGTCTTTTTAATTTTGTTTTCTCTTTGCTTTTCCTTTTTTGTTTCTTTTTTTCTTCCTCTTCATTTAAATCTATAGGTAGAAAGTTAAAGTTTACAGAACACTTGTCTGAATTAAGATCAGCATTAAAAAAGTAAGTTCAATAGCGATGTCAAGTTACTATAGAATTCTTGTTAAAAAGCTTTCTTTTCCTTCCCTCAAATTCTGGTTAGTATAGTAACTTCAGAAATATATTGCAGTAGCAGCAGGACTTTTATAGACAACTTATATTGACATTGATCTAAGCACTAAAAATGAAGGAAGTCCTGTAAAATGTAGCAAAAAGACCTTTTCCTATAAATTTACACAAGATTCAGGTTTTCATATCTCTTCTTTATCACCAAAAGGGTGATAAAGTTCTGGATTGGTCTGCCTGGGGAGGTGGTGGAGTCACCATCCCTGGATGTGTTTAAGAAAAGACTAGATGTGGCACTCAGTGCCATGGCTTAGTTGAGCTGTTAGGGCATGGGTTGAACTCGATGATCTTTAAGGTCTCTTCCAACCTAGTGATTCTGTGATTCTTCTGTATGTTAACAGTTTTAACATTTAACATACATGTCCAAAGTCTGAAAACTAGAACAAATAAAGAAAATAATATTCTGTTAGGCTTCCCTGAGTTACCTCCACACATCCCTATTTCATGTTTCACAAACAGCAATGCTGTGAGACATAGCTGTTTTTCCTGCAGATACCCATCTTCAATAACCTTAGGAAAAAACCCAACCTTTACATTCAAAAATACATAACAAGTGGTAAATATTTTTTCCAAAGAGACTTATTGCAAGGAAGTACCATTGCAGTACCAATTCAACACTCTTGATAAAGAGCCCATCCACTTCTTTTGACGTGTACAACTATAGAGTTCTATCTATCCCTTTTCCTTTCTAAATAGCATTTTCCGTAGGAACTAAATGTCAGCACATATGAAAACAAAAGAACAAAATATAATGAAAAACAGAAGGGTGGAGGAGAATAATGTTCATTAATTTACAACACATTGAGGTGAAACAAACTCCCCTTCTTACTTAGGTGCACAACATCTTTGGAGTCCAAATTCAAATGAACTCAAGTATCTGATAAACAATTAATCTATTCTCACTTTGACAAGGAGCTGATACTCAGACCTTCCAAATATAGAACAGTACTTCTCAAAATACAAATGACTGAATTCCAGTCTACTAGCTGTTTCAGTCAAAATCCTACTTAGGAACTGGAGAGAAATTCAAGTGTCATATTTCTCAGTAGTTAGAAGATGTTTATACTATATGTCATAATCAGAAGATTAACTCAGAACACGCATGTCATTTTATTCTAAGCTTCTTCTTAGTAAAATATCAATCAATCTCTTGTATTTAGGAGCTCCTTTTGAGATATTCCAAACACATACATTAGTAACTTCCTATACAAGGAATTAATCATAATACTAAAAGAGTGTGGCTGTGTCAAACCTCTGAAGTCTAAACACAAAGTAAAAGACCTATTTTTAAATCACAGGCCAAAAGAACTAAAAGGAGTTATCAGAAAGGATAAAATGAGAGTCTCTGCATGTCAGAAGACTATTATCCAAAACCCACAAAAAACACCTTACTCTTTTTTTCACGCATGGCTTGTAATCTCTGTAGTTCCTCTTCCTCGCTGTCTTCGCTGCTAGTGCTGCTAACATCCAAAACAATATCTCTTTGGGGATCTACTCGGAGGAAGTTTCGACATTCAAATGTCAGATGACCAGCTGAACAAAATAAATATACAAAAATAAAAATTACAATTTACCAAAAGAACATCAAAAACAAAAGAAAATTGATTTTTGTATTATTCAGTTTTGAGAAGTGAAAGGAAAAAAGGGAGTCTGTGATCTGTGAAAGGGGCAGGAGAATACTTACTTTGAAAAACTCTCCAAGAATTTGATAGAAGAGCATTGCACAACCTATTTAAGAGTGCTTTATGGCCTCTCTCCTATTCTGCTAATTTGAAGATTTTTTTCAACTTTAGTTTCTATTTTTTAATGAATGGTCTTAGGTACTTTCTTAAGAAATTATAGCATGAAATATTTAAAAAACTACAGAAAGTATTGCATTGCTTAACTCCGTCTAGTGAAATGGTAGAATCCTATTTACTCATGAGACATACTCTTTAACAGCCAGCACTTAATACTGACTAAATTACTGCCTGACCAGTATTTTTTGGTTTTTAAGTTACATCTTGATAATCATGACCAGCTAGAAACCTTGTGCTGAATACTCATTGAAATTTTTAAAAAGTAAAATTTAAAAAAATGGAAGATATGGTTTGGGAGACACAGTAATTCAAGTAGTAATTGAAATAAGCTCATGTTCTTAGTAAGGATGATAACAAACTACCTACACCTTGAAGACAGATATTTTTAGGAACATATAAACATGGATCACATGATATGACAAGTTTCCTTCTCTTTCAGAAAATTTCTGATACTTGCTGCATGTAGAAAGAAAGCACTAAATCTATATTAATATACACTGTTCTTTGAAGGAACAGATACACAAAGCAAGTCATTGACAAAATTTGTCGCAAAAGCCTGAAATGAAAGAATGAAGAAATTTTTTTTCCTGTCACCCTGTAACACTCATATAAAGAATCCGAACAGCTTAACTCACTGAGCTAAAAGTTCAAAACAATTCAGTACAAAACAGCATCCATTCCTCCAATGTTCTAAAAATAAGAATCAGTGATTAAAAATTTAAAATCTTCACTAAGACCTGTCTCCATTAATCATGAAAGTAGCCACAAACATTTACAACTAGTGTATAATCCAAAGCATGAGCTAAATGCCAATTGCAGAACTTGTAAGCAATAACGGTAGCTGTTTCTTGAAATACACAATGCACAAAATAATATTTTCTTAGCGTAAATGATTATACAGATTTTAAACTATTGTTTTTTCTAGTGAATTAGACTGGACTTAACTTCAACTGAAATGCCTGCTTCTTTGCAGTCAGATTCAGAAGAAGCACAAGTGCTTATATCAGTATATATCAAAGAAGGCACTTTCAATTAAGTTTGAAAAAAGTTTCTCAAGTAATTGCATTGAAATGTAGTATGTACAAATATAATAGTATAATTTTTTTGCTAAGAAACTCAAAGAGTAATGATAAGTGACATAAACCAGAAAATGAACATGAAATAAACAGAAGAAATATAACATAGTAATTTAAACTGACAAATGTCTGGGCAACAAAGGAGAATACGTCTTTCCTTTTTTTCCCCCCTCTCCTCAAAAAGCAGTTCCAATCAACACCATAAACTGAAGAAAACACTGTAACTTCATATTGCTTATTACAGACTTACGGTAGCCACACTTCTTGCATCCAGCTCTGATATTATCCTTATTTCCACCTGAAAGAGAAAATTTCACCAATTAGGTGTTGCTGAAGAGAGCCTTCAAGTCTCTTTCAAATGTTTCTTGACAATGTCAATACATAGACAGAAGTGATTACCCCTCAAGAGTATTAAGTACACCAAGATCTCTTAAAAAAAACTGCACTTCTAAGCCTACTATTCTGAGCAGTAATCTATCAGAACACTCTTGACTAATTTAAACTGCTAGAGATCATTTAGTCTTATATATTTTAATGCCAAATCCTAATTTGATTTATTGTGACCTTTCCACTTGTTTAGTTACAGTATGAACACAGTAAGAGATATCTAACATTCCAGGGATCTCTAGCACATAATATAAATTCCAGCACTGCAAGGATGTTGACAGACATTCACTGGAAACTCTGAAGTGATTCATATTTTAATTACAAGAACAGACCTTACAAAGCAATTAAAAAGACCAAACCAAATCAAAAAATAAATCCTTGAAAACAAAGAAGGAAATTAAAAAGTCAACAAATTGTTAAATTATTCTGAATCCAGACAACATGACACCAAACACAAAAAATGCAAGAAATCAGAGTCAGCAACAGAAAAATCTGGATTCTAAGCAGGAAGAAGATCTGAATAATGCAAATTTTAGGTATTGAAAGTGTGTGATTCTCACACGTGAGACAACAGTTAAGTGAAACAGACACCGCAGGACACAATTCAGGAGACACACCAGGGATTTGCCCCACCCCCCAACAGATCAATCTTAATTTTAATCATTAAAGCTATTGGTAATGAAAGTGACAACTGAATTCCCAGAATCAAACTATACCATTCTGTCTTCCAACTGAATACAGTAGAAAAACCCAGCAACTTAAGCAGTCATATACTATCAGAAATTGAGCACATTGGTCACATTAATTTAAACTATGACTTACTGAAACAAGCACTGTTTTTAGAAAATTCTACTCAAAATAACAGAAACCTTCAAACCCCAAGTTGAAAAATATACCTTGGAAACTTGGACAACTCAAGTGTATGCCTTAAAGAGTGTTGGAAAGCCAAGCAACAAAGATCCATAATTCCACTATAACAGGTGATTTTCAGCAGATCTCAAACCCTCAGTATTACATATCCCCTTCAAGGTCAGCAGTGTTCAGGTACCTGTTTCGTGCCTACCTTTATAAGGACACCCATGAGGGATACAAGGAGGTAGGGAACATAGAAGAAAGAGTCACAAAATAAAAAGCAAAAGCATACCCGCAACCTGCAATGTCACATCAGAAAAACACTCAAACCAGCATTTGCTTGTTCACTACTCCTTGAGACTAGAAAACAAGATCACTCAAGCCACCTACTTTGTCCCAATTTTCTGAAAAAATTCTGAGTCAACCTCAACCCCACTGCACAGCTGACCTACATAAAGAAGGATTTGGTATTCCAGCCAAGCGAGGTCAGTAAAGTCATGTGCACACTAGAGACATCTCCCGTGTGAGGCAGGCTTTCCTTTCAAGAGATACCCAGCAGATGACAAGAATGTAAATATTGTCGTCAAATATTCCTACCAGATTCCTGCGACTGAAATTTTGTTACTGTTTTAGGCTTTAAATAATAATGTTAGAAGCAGGAGCTTAGACTAGATGAAATTTTAGCTGACTAAAAGCAAACTAATTGCAAGAAGCTTCCTTTCTCACTCCTTCCCATATCTTAATTCTCAAGACAATTAACAAGTGGTACAGAACTAAGGACTTCATTCACTGGAGAGTAAGACTGAAAAGAAAACCTGTGGAAACCTTTGAATGCAAACACGTCTTCCTCAAAAACCCCTTCTAGAATGGGAACAAGCTTATGAAGGCCTTCGTTTAATCAGAGAAGCAGATCACCAAGGCTCAGGCCTGTTCGGCTGTTCTCGAACCAAACACTGCCCTGTTTTCAGGGCAAGAGCACACTACGGAGCAATGGCCAACACAGACCTGAACACCTTGCACATCGCGCAGGTGCTTCTGCCTGCCCTGACCCACAAGAACCATCTACTGGGACACAAGCATTAGGGAAAAGCCAAGTCTGCCAGCCACCGCGCTCTCGCTCCAGCCTCAGAGGAGGCGATGGCAGCGCGGCGCCGGGATCCCCGAGCCTCGGGACGGGCCCCGCAGCGCCCCCGGCTGCCCCTGCCAGCGCGGGCACGGCCCCACCTCATCCATCTCCAGCTCATCTCCACCTCCACCTCATCCATCTCCAGCTCATCTCCACCTCCACCTCATCCATCTCCACCTCCATCTTCCTGCCGCTGCCCCGCCAGCCCGGACCGGAGCAGCGCCCGCCGCCTCCCACACGCTTCCCAGCGCCGCGCACAGCAGCGCGCCCTCCCCGCCGGCTGTCCCGGCTGTCCCGGCCCCGCCGCTCGTTCCCGTGCCGGGCTGCGGGGCCGGGGCCGGCCGCCCCTCACCCGGCAGAGCCATCGCGCCCTTCTCGCCGCGCTGCACCGGCCCGCAAGCGCAGCGACGCCTGTCCCCACCGGAAGGCTTTGCCCGGCGCACTCCCGGATCGTACCACTCCCAGGGAAGGCAGGGGACCTCAGCGCCCCTAGGGCGGGAGCAACGCTGGGAGACCCGAGAGGTGTGGAGAAGCCTGCCGACATTTCCCCAGACACGTTGTTTCTCAGTGAATCTCGGAAAGCCTCTGGCCGAGGACTCGTTCCTTCATCCTTTCTTCGGCTTGTGCAATTTCGTCCCCCCTCCCCTGAGCTGCATAGGGGCGCCCAGCATGGCGGGCGGCTCGGGGCGGTAGGAAGTGCTGGCGGCGGCGAAGCGGGTCCGGCTGCTGGGGAGGGCTCGCCGGCCGGGCCGCTCCTTTCCCCACCATGAGCAACATCTACATCCAGGAGCCGCCTACCAACGGGAAGGTGAGGCTGCCTGGGTGAAATCCTGGAGAAGCTGTATGTTGTAGGGTTATGGGGGGACAGGCGAGAGGAACACGAGCTGGGGTGGTGGTGATGATAGTGATGGTGGTGGTGGTGGTGGTGATTGGGGGTGGAGAGGTCGTTGTTTCTGTGGTTGATTGGTTTGGTTAAAGTTACTTCTTTGAGGCTGCCAGAGTCAAAGCATGTGGCGTGATGTTTGGAGACATAACACAGAGCAGTCCTCGGAGTTTTTAATTTAATTTTTAATTTAATTTTAATTTAATTTTTTAATTTAATCTGCTTCGGATTATAGTTTACCTCCTTAATTTTGTTATGATCTCTCACTGGATATTATGTTCCTTGTAAGGGCAATATCTGGATATTTATGGCTTTTTTTCCCCCCATGCTGCTCAATATAGAAATGATAAAGGGTATCTAAAGTTTCTGTGAAGCATCAGCCATCTTATGTTATGTGTTATGCTATGTTATGTTATGTTATATTATGTTATGTTATTACAACTATATTATACATCTTTATTATGCATATTGATTCAGAGCTGTATCTCAAGTTCTGGAAATGCTAGTTAGAACTAACAGTAGCTACCTGACATACTTAAATATATATCACTCTTACAAATATAACAAATTCAGATTTAATTTTTTTGGGCAGTTTTACCTTTGATCAGTGACTAAGTTACAGTAAACTGAGTCTTCATTTATCTGTGTGTTTATAGGTTTTGCTGAGAACTACTGCAGGAGAGATAGATATAGAATTATGGTCAAAAGAAGCACCAAAAGCATGCAGAAATTTCATCCAGCTATGTATGGAAGGTAATGATTGAATGGGGTGGGGAGCTGTTGAAATTAATTACTACGTGATCTTTGTGCCCTTTCTGTAAAATAGAGGTCATAATTATATTTTGACTTTAGTATGTCAATAGGTTTATTTGTGTTCAGAAATTATTAGTTAACACTCTGGCAATGTTTTTCAAGGTTACCAATGAAGCTAGTGGAGAAAAAAAATAAAAATTTTGGATGATTTTCTCAAATTAAGCTGATGACCTAGAATTGAAACATTGTCTTTCTGAGTCTTGAGAGGCTTTCTTTCAGCAAATGTCTACAAATTATAACAACATCAGTGTGTGCATAAAATGGCAGTGATACAATATTGGCCATTCTCCAAAACTGTCATTTCTGCATCACAATTTACACTATCATTTCTTTTTTCTTTTTTCCCTGAGCACTCCTTATGTTTCAGTTACTGTATTTTTTGATTGATAAAAGCTCTGTAAAACTTTCCAGCAAACTAGTGGGTTCTTGAATGAGAAGCTCCCTTTTGAGAAAACTGTAACAAAAATCTATGAAAGGCTTGATGCCTTTATATGTTTTCTAACTGGTATTATTCTCCTATTTAAGCATTTGTAAAATTGTGAAGAGTTCTTTTTGCCTTCATATGTTAAACAAAAATAGCAGTCTAAGCTTTGTGCCTCCAGCATAGATCCAGTCTGTTTTGTCCAGTCTCTTTTCCTGAATGTTGAGACTTTTTGCAATGGTAAAGGAATTTCTAAGCCCATGATAAAGGTTCATATGTGCTCAGTGGGTTTAATTTAAGTCTGATTTTTTTTAATTACTGTAAAGCATCTTGTGCTTTATAATACATTTAAGTATTTCTCATTAATATCCTAGCATATAACCATCCATGACTGTGTCTAGTTATGCTGCAACATTTGCACACCCTGCCTTATCTTGCAACATGCTACAGAATTATTTATTATTATTATTATATCAACCAGGGGTTTGATTCAGGTAAAGTTTTGTTTTCAATCCTTTTGTTTTCTTATGATCGTATAACCTCTATCAGATAGATAAAAGAAGATATCTTAGAGAGCAAAATGTACCACATATTTTATTCTGCAAAAATTACCAGTTTCAATACAGTGCAGGTGATTAAAGATGTTCTATGCTAGTGAGTGAAAGTGCAAATCATCTGTATATGGGTATTGCTAATGGCTAATGTTGTATGTGAGATCTCATCCAGGATACAGCACCATATTTCTAGTTCTCCTTTAAAATTGGTGCATTTTGATAGTGTCATTCCACTAATAAAATCTTAAAAGTTGAAAAGAATGTAATTCATCAAGGTCATCTTGTCAGTGATGGGCAGGATTTTTTGCAAAAGAAGCATGTGATACCACAGGTTGTGATTTCGTAAGTCTGTGGAGAATAGAACGGAAACAAATAGAAGCCAACAGTGGAATCTAGTTGCAGTATTTGCTTTCTGGAACTTCAGTCTCTGGATATCACTGCATGATCTGTATGAAAGTTTGGGTTTGAGACCACTTACATGTATTTAAAATATATATATTTCTTTTTCTTTTTTAGAGTATTACAATAACACAATATTTCACAGAGTAGTGCCTGGCTTTATTGTGCAAGGGGGTGACCCCACTGGTACTGGATCAGGAGGAGAGTCAGTCTATGGAGCTCCTTTCAAGGTGTGTATCTGTTACTTACACATTAATTTGTTGGGTATTCTCTATCCTTTGTTATTCCTACCAAGTTCTGAAAAATCAAATGTTACATGAAACACATACTTGAGCAGTAGTTGCCTTCATGTGCTACTTCAGTGTGTTTGAATATCCCCTTCTAAATTGAGAGTTCTTAGATCTAGCTATGCTGGTATAATGATAAACCTGGGGGCTCAGATCCTGAGCAAAGCTACACACAGGCTGAGCAGCTGTGTTCTGTTCTGTCTGACTGTTTTATTTCAGGTGGGGCAGGCACCTTTAATTTGTGACTGAAGCTGCAAAGCCTGTTTCTAGGCCTTCCAACTTCTTGCTGACTTTTGCATTTCGCACAAGCCTGAAGTTTGTGGGAGGGAATGGTTCCTGAGCAGAGAACAAAACAAAAATTACCAATATTGTAGTAGCATTGCTGCTTCAAAGTAGTGGTATCTCAGTATTGCAGTGTTTAGAATTGTGATATTGCAGTGGTATTCAACATGTTCGCCTTGCTTTGAAAGGAGTCTTATTTTGTCTTCCTAATTCTCGACAATGTTCTTCCTATGGATTTTTGCATTACTCTACTATTACAAACTGTTATTGTGCTTTTAGTAACTTTACATGAATTAGGATTTAAATTCAGTTTTCCCATAAATACAGTGATTGTCAAGAATAGTATTTTTGCGAGAAGTGTATGAAATGCAGTTACTTTTTAAAATTTTCTTAATATTGGAGGATAACAAATGCAAAAAAAAATAATGAATAACAATTGATTTTTAGGCAATAACTGAAAAAAGATAAAATTAACAAGACAGAACTTAAAAGTTTTTTGATTAGTAATGTGTCTTTATGTTATTGATAATTTAGTTTCTAATTTTTTGTTTGGTTTTTGTTAATTGTTGGTTTATGGTTTCTTTTGAAGATTGTTCATTTGTTTCCATCATGAGAGGCACTAGGGATTAGAAATACTGACAAAAAGTAATTTTTACTGCTCATAGTAGGAACGTCTAAGTATAATTCTAGCATTGAGCTTCAAAATACTTGGGATTTATTACTGTCTGAATTTAAAAGAAAATTAGCAGCATTTTTTGTGTGTGCATGTTGATGTAAGTAGTGTCACTCCTATCTCCTATCATGCTGCAGCTAAAGGAGTGAAAAGATAGCTTAATACTGAACTCATTCTCTTTTCTATCCTGCTTTTACCAGGATGAGTTCCACTCACGATTGCGATTTAATCGAAGAGGACTTGTTGCTATGGCAAATGCTGGGCCCCATGATAACGGGAGTCAATTTTTCTTTACATTGGGTCGTGCAGATGAACTTAACAACAAGCACACAATCTTTGGAAAGGTCTGTTACATTAATTGGAATCCCAGTTTAAGTCTGACAGAAGCTACTACAAGTTTCTCTGAAGGCTGGTTTAGTATTGTTTGCTGCTATGTGCATTTGAAATTTATTTCAGTGCTTTCTATGCTTTCTCCATTCTCTTCGTTTCTTATATTTGGCATATATTTCTTATATGTTTCTGTGGGTTGTTCCTGTTATTATCTATCTTGCTTTTGTTATTCTTCTAAATTGTATTTTCATGTTGTGCTGCCTGTAAATAATCTTATTTGTATTATTATGGCTCTGTAATTAATCAGTTCATCTAATACTAATGACATGTTAGAAAATTCTATTTAGAATTAATTAGATTCTAATTACCCAAGAAGGGTCAGGAAGATGAAATACATGAGATTAATTTACCACTCTCATTATTTACTTAAAAGAAAACAAAGCAAACATTTTTTTATTTCAGTGGTTTTTGTTTTCCTGTTTCGTAGCTCACAGTAAGACTTCAACATCTTTATCTGCATACATTCTCAAAACTACCTGTATTCCTTCAACTTTTGCCATTAAATTTTAAAACCCAAACTTTTGTTTGAGTTTTAAAATTTACTAGTACTGCATTGTGTACATTTACAAGTACATTACATTGTACTTGCTGTCTTTTAGAAGTCTTACATGCTTACAGTATTTCCTATAGCACCTGTACTTTCAAAATTTTTTACATAATAATTGTCTTGTATTTTGAAGAATAAATAACACAAATTACAGTCTTGCACTTTCAAGCGTTTCTTTGTAAATTTGCCAGG